GCTAGAGCCCCCCTCCCCCATCTCTGTGGTAGAGGGGCTTCTGAGGACACCTGAAACCTGGAAGTGCACACTACAACCCGTGCTGTAACCCTGGCTTCCCACACTGTGCCACTAGAAAACAGGGCCACGTACATACAGCTTCCTTTCCTCCACTTCCCCAAAGTGAAGTTATACAGCTCTCACAGTAGGTGTTCCAAAAATAAATCACAAACCAACTGTGATAAGTAAACCCCTTCTGAGCAAAAGGGCTGACTGTAAGCATTTTTTTAGAATGAACAATACAGCTTTACTTGATGTCAGCATCTCCTAGTTAAAGAATTTACCTGGTGGTATGTCTTATCAAGCTTCTTGGGACTAATAGCACCCTACCAGATGCATTGCTGCAAAAGATCTGACCAAGCCTACAGCTCAGACTCCCATGAGAAGAGTGTGCTGAAGTCCTGAAAAAAAAATCTGGAAGAACAAAGAGAGACTTCATATTGTCCCATGATCATTATGCCCCCAATGAAGAACAAAAGCATGGGTTGTTGGAAATTGGGGGAAGTAATGTTGAAATAAAAAAAGGCTCTTGAGGGCTCCCCAAGAAAAAGCTATTTAAAAGTGCAATAGAAAAAGAATGGGCACAGCAACTGCTTAGAGCTCAACAGGGCCAGATGTAGACTGGGGTACAGAATACAGGCTGGGGTTAGATATAGGATTTACATGCAGATGATTTCTTTCCACCCAGATGCTTAATAATCCTCATCAGAGACGGCAGTGGGGAGTAGGGCTTCTCTGGTGTGAATGCCATCAATTTTAAAGCTGCTTTCTTAACAAAAATTGAACTGGATCCTGGGTCTCTTGAACTATTGTCTAAAACTATAATCATTAGATGTGCAAGTCTAACAAGTCTAACTGTAAATATCTAGTCTAAAAATCTAGCCATTGGGTGCCTGAAAGCAGTATGATGCAAAGCCTAAGCCCAATCTAAGAATCCAGCCATGAGATGTTGACTAAATAGAGACAAGGTAGCAATAGTACAGATGTACAGTGAAGAGATAATGGGAGGGGCTATCTGGGAAGTGGCTAATAATAATTAGCCACCTCCCAAATCTAATAATAATTGATCCCTTACATTAATCAATACCACCCCAAATTCCTCTTATTACAACAAGAATACTTGTGTCAGCCTTAGCAGTCTGTGAAGAATGCCACAATTGGAATGTGGCTGGTGTTTCTTTCTTGGTTTGAAATCACAGCAGTTGGTGCAGTGCTGAAGCTGACGATAAAGAAAGCAGAAAGGCATGGTCAAACATGGCGTTAGCAAATTAATAACAAATGCTGTGCTGCGCACAGAGACCATAGTGGAAAGAATTCATCTCTGAGGACCAAGAAAGTCCTGCAAGGCCAGAGGAATAGCTACAACTGAAATGCAGATTTATAAAGATAGGCCCATAGCAGAAATGACCCAGATCCAATATTGAAATACTGTATTCACTATAGTTCACAGCCAAGGTTGGTTAAATGGAAAGTACTATCATTCAAATTTGACTGAAGACTGAGTTCAGGTGGGATTGGAATGCTAAGAGGAGGCAGCAGAAGACTGCAAAAGTGGGAAAAGGTACTTTGACCTCTACTGCCAATGAATAAAGGTCAAAGGCATGTCAGTCATCCAATTTTTTAGACAATTGTCCATTGCTCTTCATTCCCATCCCCAGAACGAGTGATCAGGACAAAGGTCCTCTCAAGCCAGGCTCAATCATTTGAAATACCATTTTTAAAGAACAGAAACACTGACAACACAGCAGTAAGAATGAACAGGGCAGAATAATCTTACTGTAAGGTAGCCAAATATACAGTAAGGTTGGCAAAACTACAACAGTTAAATTAGGCACAGTCAAGTTTAGCTCATGGCTTGCATGAGTACAGCAGATGTAAAACCTGATTCCAGTTAGTTGTTGCCATCGCTCTAAACCAAGGGTCTCCAAACTATGGCCCGCAGGCCACATCCAGGCTGCCTTGCCGTTTTATCCGTCCCATTCCCTTCAGCTCGTGCATGCACACAGGCAGGAGTATGTGTGGGCATCCGTGGGGGACGGGAGCATGCATGCGGGGGCAAACAGTTTGGCGCATGTGTGCACAGGCAGGCGTCCATGTTGGGGGGGTGCATGCATGTGGCCTCATGTATGCACGTGCATGAACATTCCTGTTCCTTTGGCCCTCAAAAATGTTGGAAATATCCGGTGTGGCCCTCACAGTCAAAAGTTTGGAGACCCTGCTTTAAACAATGCCCCCAATCAGTTCAACCTGTAATTGCTCAAACTGGTTTACATGTCTTTGACCTTGTGAACTGAAGCCAACAAAAATAACAAATTATGGAAATGTTATATTATAATAAACCCAAAAGTAGCCAAAGATGGAGAAAAAATAGAAAAAAGAAAATTAGGGATGTGCATGGGTCATCTAAATTGGCATTTAGGTGAATGCATTACTTCAGAATGTATCCTTCTACTGTCTGGAGCAATTTGCACTCAATCCTAGTTGATATGTGGCCTATATCCAAAGACATTTGTGAATTTTATGAAGTCAGAGCTTTGAATATCCAAAACATCTGTGTGGTTTTTATTTACAAATGTACATGAAATTTGAAGGTGTGATGGGTACTAAATAGTCTACCTGTTAAAGTCCACATAGGTAAATTAGGTTTTTACAATAGCGGGCACCTTTGAAGTCTTATTTTTTAAAGAAACACTTTAGGCTGAAGTGATGTACACTTCATGCAGTTTGATTTGTGCTCCATATCCAAACTGATGTGTAGGTTTGCTTCACTTTTCTCTGAAACAGAATCTGCCCTTTCCAACCAGTCTCATATAAATCAATGAGAATCAGGCTAACTCAGTGCAAAGTTTGTGCACAGTCATAATAAAAAAGCAATAATGAGTTGATTCTTGCACCCAAGATACATTTCAATCTCAGCTTTGATTCCAAATATATATCATGTAAATCTTGCTTTAAATTTTTAGTCCCTGTGGAATACTCTTTGCTGCTCATATAATGGAGTGTTACTTGAAAACCACTGCATCAAATCTTCTAGAGCAGTCCAAATATTGAACTGCTAGATTAGTGTATTCTTTATGCTGCCCTTTGCTTAGCCTATATTCTTCATGTTTTCTTCCTCTTTATTCTGTGTCACTGCTGATTTACAAGACTCCTCTACTTCTTCTCTGACATTTTTTCACCTTTAGGGCTTGTCTACTGTCAAAATGCACTGCTTTGATTAATTGCATTTCCTCCTCAACTTCTGTTGGTTTCACTCCCATTTCTTGCTTTTTTTGGTTAACCTTTACTGGCTTTTTATTGTGAACTTTTACGTCTGTTAACCTTTTCTTTATTGACTTCCCCCCCCCAATAGATCCTGAGAGCTCTGCAATGTATTTTTATTTTCTTTATATGCATCTGACTTTTTCTTTTTACTATGTGTATGGCGCTAGCATAATTATAGTTCCATAATAGTGTTGCTATATGGGGCTTGTAAGTTTTTTCATGAAAATAAACCAGACGTACAAAAGAGCAGAAATGTAATTTTTGTACAGATTACCTTAATTTCTATGCCACAGAAGTAAGATATATCCATATGGACTATAGAGTGATCATAAAGTTGCCTGTACTAAACCCATGGTTATTCAAGTGGTGTTCATATAGTGAAATCATGGGACTATAGAGTGATCATAAAGTTGCCTGTGCTAAACCCATGGTATAGTGAAATAATGATGGCCAAAATCCTATTGCTTAGTTATGCCTGGGAACAGCAAAGACTGTACCTCGCAGCAGTTTCTTGCTGGCAATTAACAAGTCCCTGCTAGGATCTACAGGTAGGCATCTAGGCAGCAGGTGTGCAAGTGTTAAAAAATCCAAGTGAAGATTTGTTAATAGCCAGTGAAAATCTGCTTCAGGTTACATCATTTGCATTCAGCAGGTGTAACTAAGCAACAGAATTTTGCCTGTTATTATGTGCCACCAAGTAGATTCTGACTTACAGCAATCCTTCCCAGGGTTTTCTAGGTTTAAAGACTCTTGTATGAATCAGTAGTACAGAGTGCAGCCTTCTGACTTTAATCCAAATCCTTTAACCCTCTCTATTTAAGTACCAGGACCAAGCTGTGGCTCTAGCAATCTGAGATGTCATGGTTTGTACGACTTTTGGAAGAAACCATGTGGTCATGTACATGGAGAAAAGCTCTGCATTTAGGCATTCTTAGGAACTGAAAGCCTGGATATACTTCTCATGATACCAACNTTCCCTCTTGTAACTTTCATTATTAGCTGGTGGACAAGGGGGTAGGCAGGGTACTTCAGGACAGGGCTCCCAGTCTGGCAATCATATAGGGATCCCTTCACATATTATACATGTGAAGGGGTTTCTTGAAACATAGCTGTTTAGTTTATCTTGGAAGTACAGGCTTGTTCCCTAAATCGCAAAGGATATATTTCTAAGAGTGTAAGATGATCATTTTCATTATTAGCTGGTGGACAAGGGGGTAGGCAGGGTACTTCAGGACAGGGCTCCCAGTCTGGCAATCATATAGGGATCCCTTCACATATTATACATGTGAAGGGGTTTCTTGAAACATAGCTGTTTAGTTTATCTTGGAAGTACAGGCTTGTTCCCTAAATCGCAAAGGATATATTTCTAAGAGTGTAAGATGATCATGGTAAACTACTCAACATCTCACATACACTGAAAATAAAGTAGCAAAAATGCTTAATGTTTATATGTGCAATATCATTCTGAAGATGCAGAAAATGCAAGCAGTTTGGTAGGTATCTCTTATTAAAGCAATGTTAGTGTCAAGATTGCTTTTGCCTATGTTATTAACCATCTTTGCCAACATAATTCCCAATGCAGTCTGATGTGTCTGTTCAAATAGTAACAAGAATACAGAGGACTCCAACTAGGTGCTTTTGTTTTGCTGAGTTGATCTAAAATAAAACCCCATTTTTTAAAAAAAATATTTTCCTAGGATGTGTGACACGGGAGAAGGGCTGTTCACCTTTCAGACAAGGGAAGGCGAGATGATCTATCAGAAGGTCCATTCTGCGACACTGGCAATAGCTGAACAACATGAAAGATTGATGATGGAGATGGAACAAAAAGCACGGGTAAGGATGTTTAACCAGTATTGTAAAAGTCATCTGTAGCATTAGGAAAGGAATAACTGAAGTTAATCAAAATGAAGACTTCGTTAAGAAATGTAACACTCTGACTTCATTAACAAGGCAATTAAAAATTAAACAATTCTTTAGAAGCATATTTTCACAAAAAGGCAATATTTTATACAGTGCTTTGATCCCTTTCGCCCTATACTTGCTAAGCCCAATTAGATTTCTTAATTTTGGGTTAGAAAAATGGGAGGCGTCTTATACATGGTGGCATCTTATACACGGAAATATATAGTTGTTTTTCTGAACCATGATTAGTGATTTTAAAGAGTTGTGAAACCATGTGAATTAATGGGAATTACATAAATGCTGGGCTTTACTATTTAGCAATTATTTCAGTGGGTCTACCCTAGCTGAGACTACCAACTAGGCTAGGATTGACTGATTGTATATAATATTAATACAAAAGCAATGTATGGGTAATCTCTCTTAATACTTTATACTGTTTTAACTGTCTTGAAATGTTTTAACTGCTTCCTCTTATTTTAAATATTATATGTATGTATCTTATTGAGTCGAAGACAGCAAAATTAACATTGACTGATTGTATATAATATTAATATAAAAAACAATGTATAGTAACTTACCTTATTACTTTATACTGTTTTAACTGTCTTGTAACATTTTAATTGCTTCCTCTTGTTTTAAATATTATAGCTATGTATTTTAATGAGTCGGAGACCGCAAATAAAGATTGAATTGAATTGAATTGAGTACCAACTAGGTTTAGGTCAAGAATTTCTACCTGTAGTCTTCTGTTTTGTGCTTCAGCAGTTGTATAAGTCTATTTGTAAAAGAACAAACATATTTTAGCAAAAACAACAAATTCTGAATCTCTATAAAAGGTTAAAAAATTAAAGAACTAACAAATGCATAGTATATTACTCAACAAGCCATCTATTGATCTTGTGGGTGCTCTGAGATCATTTGCTGTTTTTAATTATTTAAAAAAGAGGTCTTGGGGAAATATCAGTGTAATGAAATTTGCAAGTCATGAAATTTCCTGTCATAAACTTGTGATTCGCTTTGTCCTTTTCAAGGCCGCTCTCCTTTTCACATAAGGCAGTCTTGCATCAAATTGAGAAAGTGTGATGCTTCTATGGTTGACTCACACAAGCATTTTCTCTTTCTCTCACCTCAGCTGAGTGAATAAACTCTACGGGAAGAAGGACATTTCCAAAGGGAAATCCTGACTAGGAGAAGCTTGGAATTCTCAGAATGGCTATACATTGCCACACATTACACTTGATTTCTTCTCTTTCATTTCCAACACTTAAGAGATGATTTAAAAGACTGTGATAGAGGGGGCAAGAAAAACGTGGTCCATTAGCCATTTTAGATCATCTTACCAAGAAAGTTCTGTTTCAAACAGAGATGCTGGTCCAGTTCCGTAAACATTTATGTCTCATTTATGTCTTAATCCATCAGTCTCAATTGATGGATTAAGTCCATTTGTTAGTCCCAAGAAAAGCAGAACCATGTAATGAAAGGGGCTTGTTAAGTCAGCTGCAGTGTAAATCTGGTGCATCCAGTGTGCCTGTTCTAGCTCGAGTAGACGTTGTCTAGAGGGGTGGGGTAAAAATCAAATAAATAAATAAATAAATAAATAAATAATAAATAAATAAATAAATAAATAAATAGCTCATTTAGCAACTTGATTCAGCCCAGTATCTCTACAGTATTACATGAAGGCAAGAAAGGATTGTCATGAATCTGTTTGAAATATCATTGAGAATTCTATGGCTCAAATTACAGTGGGGTCTCTACTTAAGAACGTCTCTACTTAAGAAAAATCCAACTTAAGAACAGCTCAATTTGCTAAATTTTGCTTCTACTTGAGAACAGAAATCCAAGATAAGAACAGGAAAAAAAAACCTTTCCTGCTCTTTTTTTAACCTTAGGTCATCTTAGGTTAAAAAAAAATTCTCCCCCTAGTGGTAGAGTACGTATTAACCAGCTTTGCATTAGTTCCTATGGGAACTAATGCTTCAATGTACGAACACACCTCTACATAACAAAAAAACAGCCAGAACGGATTAATTGGTTTTCAGTCCATTCCTATGGGAAATTTTGCTTCAACTTAAGAACATTTCAACTTAAGAACACCATTCCAAAATGGATTAAGTTCTTAAGTAGAGGTTCCACTGTAGTTTCTATGGACGGAAAAGAGCAGATACGGATTAAATGGTTTTCAGTGCATTCCTATGGGAAATGCAGATTCAACATAAGAACTTTTCAACTTGAGAACCACCTTCCAATACGGATTAAGTTCTTAAGTAGAGACCCCACTTTAGTAGTTTTCATATTTATTATAATTACATAGACTACAGTTCTGCACTTACTCACCTGGGACTTAGCCCACTGAAATCTGCGCCAGTTCTAAGGGACTGTAATATTAAAAGATGTGAGCTGCTGAAGAGCTCAGTGAGTTGGGCAGCTGGCTTTTGGTCAGGACTTCAGTTCTTTGCTGTTCCTCCCCAGAGAAGATTCGACCTGTGTAGTCTTGGGCCAGCTGCACAGTCTCAGGGCATCTGAAAAGAAGGGAATGGTAAACCATTTTTGAATAATTTATATCTAGAAAATCCTGTGAAGGATGTAATCAAGCAGGCTTGCTGCAAATGAATGATGGGTGATACAAGGCCTGAACACTTTTCCTCTGGCACCCTGTGCTGTAGCTTATGTTTGTACCCACTCAGTTAACCTCATAACTGGACTGTAAGGTGAGATGTTTGTTCCAGCAAGTGTTCGCCTCATCTTAGTAAAAGTGACTAACGAGCAAGTTTCCAGTGAGATGGAGTGGGTACTTGGGCAATCCCATTGAACGCTTAACAGTTCAGAGTGAATCGTACTGACAAGGTAGCATGAACTCTTAATTCTCCACCCCTTCCTTCATTGTCATTGCCATTGGTTCAGTAAGTGGCTATGTCCCTGTAGTGAGGTGTAATAGCAGAAACAGCAGCAATGGTAGATCGGCAAGTCAGCCTGTAGGTTTTCCCCTTCCCTCTAAAGTATCTATCAGAGAGTTTCTTCACTATGCCCAGTTTTTCCCTGTGTATTTTTCATAATAAGTGAAAAGAAGCAATGTGCATAAAGTGGAACTCTCCATGTAAACAGGTGCATGTTTTATTGAACTGGTGGAAGTTGAACTGGTGGAAGTTGAGACAGAGCAGCACTGTGGTATGGACTATTGAATTAAAAGGATGTGATGGTCATTTCAGAAATAAATATCTTAACCTTAAATTGTTATTCATGGAGTGGAAGGACCCTTTTCATAATGTAGGGAAAATGACATTATTAAAGGCTGTGGAACCTATACACAAAACTCTGAAGGAGAAGATTTGAGTGAACTGGAAGTCAGAGTCCATTGTGCAAATGTTATTTCTGTGCCCAAGGGCAGGCAGAATGCTTGGAATGGTTGTGTGTGAGTCTGCATAACGTAAGCTTTAGCTTGGGAAGAAACCTGTGATTACAGTATCCACATTATGCTTTTAGACTGAATCTAATTTCTTGAATATATAATGAGGCTTAACTTTGCTGAAAAGATCAAGCCTGCCTCAATTCCTTTGCCCACTCTTCCAGGCATCCAGCTACTTCCTGTTTAAAAAGGAGAGGAAATCCCTTCAGAGGTCTGGAGTTTATTCCAGTGTCTGGTAACAAGGAAGAGAAACAGGGAACTTTCCTGCCTCGTGAGAAAAGGCGGAATGAAGAGGGAAGTGGTGACGGTGACCAGTTAAGCCTGAAAGAAAGACTGAACGAGGGAATGAACAAGGTTTCTCCTTGCCACTCACTCAAGGGGAAAGCCAAGAAATATTACACTTTTGCAATATGCACATGGTTCAAATTAAAGAGAGGGAGGGAGAGAGAGTGACGACAATGATGATGATTTAAAATGCAGGTGAAAAACACAGTAGGAGCACCAAAAGGTTAATAATAAGCCACCACCACATGGCTAGGGGGTCGGGCTTTCCACTTTAAATGATCGTGTCCCAGGTCCCTGGGCGCTTTTCCCTAGGAAGCTGGGTGAGCCTGAAGGCCACGTATATCTGCATGGACATTTTGCTGAGGAGTTTTTTTTCCTGAGCTTTCTTTTTGTCTTCCCTCCCCCACACCGCATGGCCTGGGGGTGGGGCCCAGTGCCCCATACATTGTCACATAAATAAGCTTAACAGCTCAGTGCAAATGTAAGGTGTGCGCAGATGGGGAAATAGTTCACATTTTGGACTGCTTGTGGAGCAGTGCAGTGCAATCTATGTTACATGACATATGGGGACGTCCGTTTCAGCCTGACACTGATACATGCCCATGCTGGACCTTTTTGATAGTAGTTCTAGGGCTATGATATTTTGGGGGCAGGCTGGAGCGATACTCTGAAAGACAAAAGGGTTGTTTTCAGGGACATTGCTCCCTACAAAGCAACCATTTCCATTGTGATCAAATGCACACCTTTCCTGCCATCTGATCACACCTTTAACTTAATGAGGAATTGATACTGCTTAGAGTTGGCTCTGAATCAGAAATATATCTCAAGATAATGTCTTCTCCTGCTTCTTTTGAAGGAAGGTTCTTGGAAGTTTTTGTTTTTCTTTCTTAGAAAAGGTTCTTTTGATCTCACATAACGTTTAGATAATATTTGAGATCAAATAGCCTTTTTCCCCACAGAAAATGAAGCTCTTTAAACTTCAAAAGCAGAACTGAAGGTAGAGGTACATTTCCCTTTTCGAAGTGAAACCCAAGGGGCATCTGTGAGCAGCACTCCCAGCACTGCTGTGCTTTACAGACCCCTCAAGATGGGCTCTAATAAAAGCTTAGATGCGAGGTGGTTATATGAAAACATGTTGCAGTAGAAAAACAGCAGATGGATATCGATAAAGCTGTATCACTGGTACACATTATTGGTGGCAAAATGATATGTCACATTCACTAGCCTGCCTTTCTTTTTTATGCCAATAAAGTTCAAAACATTAAGAAAGAAATGGGACATATTTTAAGAGATAAGGTAAAAGCTTAAACCATTATACATGGTGAAGAGAAAATAGATAACAAAGACACTCTCTCTCTCTCTCTCTCTCTCTCTCTCTCTCTCTCTGTCTGTCTGTCTATCTATCTATCTATCTATCTGTCTATCTATCTATCTATCTATCTATCTATCTATCTGCTCTTATACAAGATCTGATGGCTGTCCAGTAAAACTGATTGTCAGCAGACAGGCATCTTTACCCAACACAAAATAGATAAAAGAACACATAAAAGAAACTGTAGTTTCAAAGCAGGCAGTGTGAATGTGTGAGGGGCAAACACAGAGTAATTGGCAGCCTTTTGATTCTAAGAGAGGGGTGTAAACATTCCAAACTATGCTGCAAAGAGGCTTCAGACCACAGCCTCAGAGGACTGATATCAAATCTCACAGACATGTACCACCAATTTTTAGACTTTTGTGTCCTCCCCCCCGCCCCACTGTCCATGAAGTTTTCAGCTAAGCCTGCAGAACTAGAATTTTCTCCATGAAAACTTGCAATTTGTTTTATTTTTAGTGGTCCTAAAAAAAAGTATCACCCACTCTTATATTTACTTAATAGATGAATATGCATTTAGATATACTTAGGGTAGATCAGTCTGAATCAGTGGGTGAGACTGAGCATGATGCTTGCAGATGTAACAGAATTTTCTGCCCATTCCAGTCCTCCTACATCCCTTGGAACCAAGGTGAACCCAATCAAGTGAACAGTCACTGCCAAGTGTTTCCCAGTCATCAAGAGCTATTTGTTTGGTTGCTCTCAGGGTTTCAGCATGAAAGTGAAACCACCACCTCCTTGTTCTAGATTTGGCTGTTTTTTTTAAAGTGTGGCCAGCCCTGAACAAAACTCCGAATGGCTTAAACTAGCCATGAATAAATATGAATCCAACCCAGCTTAGACTACTCCATGCTTCAGAATGTGGCAATAGTCTCAGATTTAGAGGCTTAGAAAGAAGATTTTTAAAAATGCTGGGAGAATCAGTCTACCAGTGTTTATTACATATGAAGCTCCATTTAACTTCCATGTGTAGAGGCAGTGTGTTACAGAATACCAGTTAGTATAGGGCTGGGAGGCAACAATGATAGACTGCTGAAGTTAGATGGACCCTTAGACTGTTCCAGCAGGGTTTCTCTTAAGGTTATTTATTCCTGTCTTTTATTTTAAAACACAGGAATCCTACTCCAGATCATAACTAGAGATGGGGATGAATCGCCATTTTGGCGAGTTATCCTCCTTCATGATCCATCAAAGTTGACAAAGCACGAATCTCCTCCGCATGAACCAATGAAATATGAATTTATTCATTGGTCCATTGGCGGGGGGGGGTTAGACAGCCAGAAGCTGTCTAAAAAAAGCTAACCACTCCACCCCCCACAGCCTGCCCCCCTGCCCCTTTTCCCCTTCCCACTACCCCTGTCGCCTCCCTACCTTGGCTGCTGCAGTCTGCACCACTGCCACCACCACCATCCACGGAGGCCTGTGCCATGGTGGTCTCCGCAGTCACCATCCAGCACTGTTATCCAGCTCTGACACTATGTCCTGCCTTAAGGGAATCTAGGCTGCCCTTTGCAAAGATAGTGCTGCAGCTTCCCTGCCTAAGAGAAGCTGAAGCCACTATCTTTGCAAAGGGCAGCCTAGATTCCCTTGAGGCAGACTAAGGGAATCCGGGCTGCCCTTTGCAAAGATGGTGGCTGCAACTTCTCTGCCCTAAAAGAAGCTGAAGCTGCCATCTTAGCAAAGGACAGCCAGTGTCCCTTACCGCAGGCAGTGGTTGCAGAGGCCACCTTAGCAGATAGCGATAGATGACGGCAGCAGTAGATGACAGCGGCACCAGGCAGTGGTGGATGGCAGCAGCAGCTAAGGTAGGGAGGGGAAGGCGACAGGGCATAAGCTGTGGGGCTGGGTGGCTGTGGGGCTGGATAGTTGATTGGCAGGCCCATGGGCAGAATGGGAAGTTCTATGGGGGATAAATTTGGCTAGCCTTCCCTCTCTTTCTATGGGGGATAAATTAAAATGGGGAAATATTCATCCCTTCATATTTGTCGGGGTCTCTGGAACTGATGAATATGAAGGGATGGATATTTAATGTTTGATTACAGCCTACCACAATTCTTTTACCATTGCCCTGGCAGTTTACCATTTTGGTATTTTTTTTATATAGTGGCACATTATCTTGGTATTTGTTTTTGAAATATTTATTTTCTTCTTATTTTGTTGTTTGATTTGTTGCCTGATTTTAATTTGTCAACTGCCCAGAATAGTTCATTGTAGTACATTAAATAAATGAATGAACAAACAAACAAACAAACAAATAAATTCATCCATCCATTTTAGGAATAGATTTCAGCACCTTGGATTATTTCTGTAGAATCCAAGCAAAATCAGAAGCTGGTTCACTGCACTGAAACTGAGTTTCCAGGCTCCACTGCTTCCTTCTCTTCCGAGCGATAACAATGTCATGTCATCTAACCATATTTCCCCAAAACACTGGGTTTTCAGCAACTGTGCCTAGTACACAACTTATTTCCATAAATGAGATCAGAGCCAGGAAGTACATGGGTTGACATGTTGTTAGAAAGGATAGCATCATTGAATGATACACTAGGGTGGAAGTCATAGGAAGTGGTTTATTGCCTTTACTGATTTATCCAGTTATTTTGCAGGTGTTAAACTGTAATTGGCTATCAGCACTAAGTTGGGGGAAATGAAGCCAGTTTAAGAAAATAAATTTCTTCATCTGATCAGTGCTGGAGGAGTTTGTTTGTTTTGATTACCTGGTATTATTCAGAAACAAAGATACATCCTCAAATATGTGTCAGAGTGAAATGGAAGATGATCTTAATGCAAGTGGTTGCAGCTTTAAATCCCCTGTTCCACAGTAATAAAACTGAATTTAATAAGCTTACTTTTCAGTAAGTCTATTGTCTGGAGCAACTGTCTGTATAAACATATATATACATGTAGTCTTCTCTTATGTGAAAGAAATCAACTGGAATATTTCTGAAGTGGGGAGTAATTCCACACAATGATTATAGCCTCATAATCTTTTTTTAAAAGGAGTTACAGGGGGGCATTGTTGTGACGTACAGAGAGTACTGTTCAGTATGCGCCTTCCTGGCTTGTCCCTGTTGTCCTTTAATCATTGTACAACAGCCGCAGTAGAGGGACCACATGAGAATTAATGCTGTTTTTCTGAATCATTACCTCCTAATGAGATTGCTGCTTGCAAACCCATGAACTCTGCACAGAACACTGCCTCTTAGAGTTGTGTTGATTCCCAATTTGTTCAACCTTCCTCCAAAATCCAGTTTTACAGCAAGAAGAGGGATGGATTTTTCTTCTGAGCACAAATAAGTTGTCATGTATTTCACTTTAATTGTGAATTCCATTGGAATGTTTTCTCACAATGGTAAAACCAGCCCCAGAGAGATTCATCCGTCACACAGAGAAAGGGGGAAATTATTTCTTGGATGCACAAAGGACAATATCTCTATGGTGATTTCTTAACTCGAGGCAATTCACCTCTAAAAGTTATGCTGTTCGTGTTTACACCAGCATAAAATCCCAGTAGGATTTTATCCATTAAAATGATGGCTTTGCATATTATTTTCTTGCTAATACTGGTGCTGTTTGTATATGGCAATGGCTTTGTTAATGCTGCCAAAACTCTGAATTTAGAAATATATCTGTGCAAATCATTAGCTTAATCCCACTGACCTTGGTGTGGCTTGTAGCAGCTACTGGGGCAACAGTACGGCCCTGAGTTGTGCCAAATCTGCCTTCCACCCCTCTGCAAACTCTGTTGCTTTACCCACAACCCAAAGCAAAAACCACATACTTTGCTTGCAGCAAATTATTCTAGAACCACAGTTATGGTCTGGTTATGTTTGCAAAAATGACAAATAAAAATGCAGTCATTAAAAAGAAATTTTTCAAAAAATGGTACCTTTTAAGTACAATTAAAAGGAGTTAATAGTGAGTACAAATTATCAGTATAAAATATTGCTGATGATGATGGTGTTTTGAAGTTTGTAGGGCAGAGAGACAGAGGAATGTGCTTTGATGGGTTGTTGTTTTTTCACTTTTACAGCTCCAGACCAGTATGACTGAACCAATGACATTACCCAAGTCAATTTCACTTCCCCGTAGTGCCTACTGGCATCACATCACTCGGCAGAACAGTGTGGGAGAAATCTACAGTTTACAAGGTGAGATGTTTGAACCGTAGAATGGCATGTCTATTAGCTTCCCTCATGTTGAGCAAAACTCATGCAAATTACTTTCATCTGCACTGGCAGATTTCCCTCCACTGCAATTATGAAGGCTTGTCATCAAACTCAGTAGGGATCATAAGGCAAGCTACCTCCCCACCTACCATTTAACTTTATCATCTAATAGTGAAGATTATTACCAGAAATCTTACTTAGTTTGAGAACTCAATTTGACAGTTCAGTTTTTCAACAGAATGCATGTATAAATGTGTGGTTTTTGAATATCTAATCAGAATGGACTGTATGGAAGTGGCTAAGAGGGGGAAAAATCAATGTTGTGTAAGCTGGCACATTCCCCACAGAGTTTGGGCCATTTCCCAGTAGCAAATAAATAGGCAATTACCACTAGTGTCTTGTCAAGTATAGAAAGGAAGGTGAGAGTGTTCTGTATGAAAAAGAAGTATCTGTATACTGTTGGCGTTAAGGTTATTCATTAGGAAAAGACATTTTCTGTGGCCTGTATTGAGACCATGAAGATGGGAGGCACTGAGGAAATAAGAAGAAGCGTAGTAGCTTACTCCTTCAGGGATGCTTTCTGGGGAAGAGCCCAGCTTGTCTGTGAATCATCTCCTCAGTAAGCAGCTCCCATCTGAGGCAATTTTTTTAAATGAACCATTAAGACTGTAGTGAACCCTAGCTCTTTCTATTTTATCCCAACATACTGAGAAGATGCTAAAGCTAGAAGACTGGCCTGAAAGGGGCTGATAAATTAGGCACACCTGCAGCTCTTCACCAAACCAAATGCAAAGTAATATGGTATGAATATTTTTCCAATATCGTCGTTCCGACCGGATGTAATTTGGGATGTGAAAATGTCACCGTCTCAATTTTTTTTAAAAAAAACTCTAAATCCCACTCCCTTACTCTTCTTGCATAGTAGTACTACATTGTCCTTGACTCCCTGCTTCTTCTCAGGTTCCAAAACTTTGTTTCTTTTTCCTGAATTATGTATACTTTTTAAAAGTTAATTTTTTTACAAATGTGCATATTTATTTAAGCATTTTATTTCGTGGAAGCATTAATTCCCACATTTCACCTGATGGAAGCATCCTCCCTATCATCAAAAGCATGGTTCTGGATATTTGTTCAGTTGTATGTGTTTATAGTTCCTCACATTCTACAGTACATGAATTTTTGTGCATACTTTGTTCTTCAGAAATGTCCCATATACCTCATAAATATATGAATTAGAGAAACAAGAGTCATGAGATGTGTGATTAGGTTACTTCTTTTCTGGTGAGACTGTGGAAATGAACATACAGTAATTCTTTTCCATCTATAACAACACAGTATTTCTGTATGGTTACAGAATCTTCACTTGATATCCCACAGATAGTTTCCTTCTGTTTTTCTGCACTCCTTTTCATTACCTTAACAATTAAATCATTTTTCATTCATCTTACTAGAAGAGTTAATCTTTTTCATATATTCCAATGTATCCTGCTTTCTGTAGAGAATTATTTCTTTTTTTCCTTGGAATGTAGCTATATCAACTGTCACAAAAATATTGATCTCAAATTTAGAGCCTTTTCACTTCTGCATACATATTTGCTCTTAGTTACATAACAGCAGTTGACATTTTACATTTTGATAACATTTGCCAAATAGTAGCATTCCTCTGGCATTGTTGCCACATCTTTAATAGGACTGAGTGCTTGTGAGATTTTGCTTATGAGTAGAAATGGTGTGCTGCAGTGGACAGAGTGATGGACTAGGATTCAGGTGATCTGGGTTTGAATCCCTGCTTGTCCATGGAAACTCACAAGTGGGGTGGAACTGGTAACACTACTCGTAAAATATTATTGTTGCCCTGAAAGCCCGGTCAGGGCCAGTAAAGTCAGTTCCAGCTTGACCAGGAGTGGTTCTTGCTCAACAGATGGGGAAAACCACATCCTTTTAAAAAAATGAAATAGTATCCATCAGGTGCCTCTGAATTGGAGTTTATCTGCTGTAACAAGTTGTGTCATCAAATGATCACTTTCTATACTTCCATCTCCTGCTCCATGTCAGAGTCATGCAGATCAGGGAAAGCCACAGCTTGATGAATTAAGGACATGCTATGGATGGTGAGAAAGTGAGACAGGAAAGTCAGGTTCAGCAATAACACTGTGTCCTTTATTCTCTTCAAATAGGAAAACATATTACATTGAATGTCTTCCTCAAAAGTTTGAGGACATGTCATCAGTTTAGGGGAGTAAGAACAAGGGAGGATCCCAGTCTTTACCTCACCACTGTCACTATTTCCATTTCCAGGTGCCACTGTTAGTGCCATTTCTTCTATCTTTCTGAGAAACAAGGATGCTACTGAACACGACTGGGAAAACTATTTATGTAGTGTATAGCCTAAAGGGAGGTGAACATTTCTGTTTTGTAAAAAAAAAAAAACAAACTATGAAGTTGCTCTACTATTGAAGCAAAGCTTGAGCTAGACCTTCCCGCAACCTGACAGAACATTAATTTCTTGAAAACCACTGTATAAATGAAGAAAACTGATGCATGAATTTTAACACCAGTAAGTCAGGAATGGGTGGGCAAGATGGAACTTGTCAAACTGCTGAAGGGCATGGCCAAACTTTAATCTGTTATAAATAAGCTGTATCTTACCTTGTTTGCCTCAAAAACAGGATAGATAATTCTCAAACATGTCCAGCAGTGTGAAGATTCAGATCAATCTGTTGAACCATTTGGGAAAACCAGATTGGATTTTATCACCCTTCCCTCTGGTGTATTGAGATACAACGTGCTACTGAAAGTTTTCTCTTCATATTTTAATGATGTTATCTCATTACTGTTTTCTCATCCTTGCCTTATCTGCAACATAAGAGCCAGGAAATGTTTTTGACCAAATTAAGGGTGTGGAGGGGGAACAAGAAAGGAAAAGGAAAAGTGTTACAATACGTTAAAGCAGTGGTTTACAACCTTGGGTCCCCAGATGTTCTTGGACTACAACTCCCAGAAATCCTGGCCAGCACAGCTAATGATTAAAGTTCCTGGGAGTTATAGTTTTAAGAATATCTAGGGACCAAAGGCTGGGAACCACTGCTTTAAAGATTAATAGATTTGCTTCAGTGTGAGTTTTCATGGACCAAAATCCATTTTCTCTGAAACAATGAAATGCTGTGAGGCATTGGTGGTTGTCCATGTCACAAAAACCTGGCAAAGTCTATAATTGCAAAATAAGTCAATTTGTTTTAGAACACTTTTGAAACATCAGTTATAGAACGATATGGGGTAGCAAAGGATGTATTTTACTTTTTGAAACTAATCAATGCTGTGATGGATTTTTATCCCTTCATTTTGTTGTGACCAGATTTTCCCCTCAGTGTTCATAATGGCCTTTTCAGTGGCACTGCAGCTCAAAGCAGGATGGGGAGGAAACAAGACAGAGAGAAATTCTAATTGTTTAGAAGCAAAATATGAGAAAATAAAAGCAAAAATAATACATTAATCATGAGGAGGAGAGAAAGATCTACAAAGGTTAAACAGTATGGTCTGGGTTTCCTCCCTCTTCCCTTTAAGCCATAGAACCTGCTCACCCTGCATTTCTGGTTAAAATGATAACCAGAAATTTGTAAACCAGGGAATAGTTTTAGAAAATGAATTACATGTGGGTGATGTTGCCTAAGGCAGTACTTAATTGTTTTTGATTAAGCCAGAGGAGAGTAGAATAAGACCTAAAATAAAAATATGTTTGTTTTCCGTTAAAACTCCTGGTTTCCTAAAATAACCTCAGCATGTGGGCGGCTCTTGAAATACTTCAAAAGAAAGAATGTGTGTGTATAGTCATAGAAAAATGGAGTTGGAAGGGACCTAAAGGCCATTTAGTGCAACCTTCTGCTCAACATAGGAATCCAAAATCCAAATCAAAGTATTTGGTATTTGGTGATATGTGCCATTTCATATGTGGAATTCAGCAAATAATGAAATGTTGAAATTATTTTTTTTAAAGAAGCTGCCATGCTATGCAAATATCAGGACAAATTAAATGGTGCTATTCTTCATCTTTACCCCACCTTGCTTGCAATGTTTTGCATAACAAATACTTAAAAATGTTATGCCTTCATTGCTGGATTTGGAAATTGGCCCATCAGCAGCAGTTCTGGCTGAAGTCTAACACACTTTACTAAGCAGTGACTTTCGTTCAGTTCAGCAGGTTTTACTTCAGAGTAGGCACACATAGGAAAGACATGGCCTTTTAAATATTATTAGAATAATGCTCAAAACAGTGATGAAAGGCATCAATATTCTTGGAGCAAGACAGCAAATAGATATCTCATGGTGGCATTAAAAGAGCAGTTCTAACACACCACTTTTGTGTTCCAAGATCAGCTATTTTATTATCCATTATATCAATAATGTAATGGATTCCTTTTTTTCTTCTGTATGTGAAAAACACTTAAAGAGCAGTGGACATATAAATTTGCCTATAATGGTATTTTAATTGGTTGATCTTTTAACCTCTTTAATTTACAACCAAATTTACAAGTTATGAGCTTTCTTGCAAATACTGAGAGCATCATAGAGGTGTACTCTGAGATTCCCTTTGAATAATAATGAACCAGCCTAAATGTCAGTTTCTTCAGTGAATACAGTAATAAGCAGAACTAACATATTTCCATAGCTAGCTGACTGTTGTACTCCATCCTTGTCAGATTCGATTTTTCCCTGTATATTTAAAAACTGATATAATGTTAACTTCTTTGGCACTGCACTCATTTTTAATTCTGATTTGGCAGAGGAGGGAAAAGGTTGTTTACAGGGTTGCATTGGGATTTACTCATGCAAAATCAATGCTAAGAGACAAAATGAGGAACAGTAACAACCACCTTTATAGGGTATCTATAGCCTGAGATCAATTTAGCCTCCTATCATTGTTTACAGACCAATACTTCCTGGGTGGGGGATGGAGTATCAACAGGGGTCTTAAAGGTCATTGC